GTGCTGGGGGCGGGGCCGAGTAGCTTCGGCAGCAACATCTACGATAAGTGGGACCTGTGTGCTGGGGGCGGGGCCGAGCAGCTTCAGCGGCGGTTGGGATAACGGACCTGTGTCTGCTGAGGCGGTGTGGGGTGGAGCCTGCTCCCATCCCAGGGGCTTCACGCAGCTTCCTTAACGAGGCTTCCCAGCTATCAGAAGTGGAAGCAGAAACAGAAAATTGATGATCGTGACTCGGACGAGGAAGGGGCATCTGACCGGCGAGGCCCAGAGCGAAGAGGTGGGAAGCGAGGCCGTGGTCAAGGTGAGAGAGCCAATGTGGGGAGTGTGGGTGCACAGGTAGGCAGGGCAGGTGTGGTCGGATTAGGGTAACACTGAGGCACAGGTGCAGGGGTTACTGCAGAGCCCCAGAGCTGGGTGCGTTGGGGTACCCTGGGTCCCCCCACGATCCCCCACCCCACCCCCACAGATTCCCCTTTCTGCTGTCCCGGCCTCTGATGGTCACGAGCACCGCCTCGCAGGCGCTGGAAAGTACCATGTCCCTCAGACACATTATCCCCAACCCCTTCCACTTCGCAGATGAAGCCATGGGGGTAATTTCTGTTAGATGCCCTGTTCACCTAATTCACCTCGTTGTCTAGAAACCTAGAGAACTCGGGAGGTGGAACCTGTGCGAATGCTGCTATGTGGGCCTTTTTCACCTGCAAAAATAGCATTTGCATGTGGTTCGACCTGACAAAGTGAGCATGAATTGATTCCCTGTGGCATCCTCGGGAGTGACGTTCTTTTTATCAGTGTTGTGGGGAAGTTCATGTCACCAAAGATGCAGTCAGAGGCAGCTTTGGTTCCGGGAGGAGGCAATGACGGAAGATGTTGAGGAAGGTGCTGTCTTGAAATGTGGGTTGGCAAGTGGTACATTTGGTCATCTGAGGACTTGGACCTCTTTGATCTGGCCTGGGTCCCTCAGCCAGTAACAGGCTAAGATGGATTTGAAGTTGGCTCTGTCTGCCAGAGCCTGTGCTTAAGGGCTGCTGTCAGGGAGGGGCTCCCACTTGCTGGGTGTGGACAGGTCACACATGACCTGGGAGGCAAGGTGACTGCGAATACCCACTTGACAGGCCAGGAAACAGGTGCTTTATGGGGGCTGTGACTGAACCTGGGTCACCCAGCTGCCCAAGCCTCCCACCTGCAGCCTTCCCTGGGGAGAAGGGAGTTTGGGACCATGTCTTGGGTCTCTCAGATTGCCTTCGCCCCGGCTTGTGTCACTCCACTCCCCGGGGCTGGTCACCGCCTCCTCTGGGTGTCTCTGAACCTGCATGCATTCGCCTGGGCCTCTTCTCTGTGGCTTCTCCCCCTCCAGCTCTCCCATCTGTGGGAATGTCTCCTTGTCAGCGTGGCTGGGTGGGGACCACCCACACCTCACTTCTCAGCCTGTTTTTACCTGGGTGAAACAGCAGCTTCTGCTGCAAGCAGTGCCATGCAGTGGGCGGGCAGGGCCTGGGGAGGTGGGAGCGACCTCTGGGCTTTGGGAGAAAGCAGCTGTTCTTCCCTGCGCTGTGTCCTCGTTGGAGGTGATAGGTCCTGCGAGGCACCCTGGCTCTAATGGAGACAGCTGGGACCACCCCAGTGGTCATCCCTCCAGGAGCCCTGGAGAGGCTGCTATTGTGAATGGGGAGGAGGAGGAGGACACAGGGCTTAGTGGGAGCCAGGGAGGGTGGTGCTTGCTTCCCGGAGAACTAGAAGAATGGACTACCTGGGGCTGGGGCAGGGCTGCTGACCTCCACTGCTGCTGCTTTGCTGTGTGACCTCAGACAAGTCCCTTTCCCTCTCTGGCCGCCTCTGATTCCTCTCCCGCCTAAAGGAAGGTTCATCTACACCCTTTTTGCATCTAACAAGCCTAGAGCATGCTGCCCATGGAGACAGAGGCTGAGGTCTGTCTTGGTTACTATGGGGGCCTCAGAGCCCAGCGTGTAGTAGGTGTGCTGTGGAAACAGACAACGCCTGGATTGGGGAATTCTCAGCAGTAACAGTCATGCCCAGAAGGCTCTCACCGTGGGCCAGGCCTTGTTCTGAGCACTTTATACCATTTATTTTTCACCCATGAGGGAGATGCTGTGATTTTTCATTCACAGATGGGGAAACTGAGGCGTGGAGACACTAACTGACTTGCCCAAGGTCTAAGAGGTTACAGCTGGGATTTGAACCCCGCGGTTCTGGCCCTGTGCTATTGAGCACTCCGTGGGGCTCTCTAAAGCTTTGTTAGCCACCTACTGGGCCACAGCAATAAGCACAGAACAGGAGTGGGACCGGGAAGGAGTCTGCGAGCTTCTGGGAGGAGGGGATCTTGGGAGTGATCCCACCACCTGAGCTCCCTGAATCCCTGTCCCAGCAGGTGCATCCCAGCCCCGTGCCCCAGGCACCCCTGCAGGCCGTGTCCGCCCGGAACTCAAGACCAAGCAGCAGATCCTGAAGCAGCGGCGCCGGGCCCAGAAGCTGCGCTTCCTGCAGCGCGGTGGCCTCAAGCAGCTCTCCGCTCGCAACCGCCGCCGTGCCCAGGAGCTGCAGCAGGGTGCCTTCGGCCGGGGTGCCCGCTCCAAGAAGGGCAAGATGCGGAAGAGGATGTGAGGACCAGGACCGAGCCCCGTGGTTCCTTGGTTGGCCTTAGAGTGGACATCAGCAGACGTTCCTGTGCACCACTGCGTGCCTGGCCTTGTGCCGGGCACTGGGGGTACTCCCTGCAGGAGCCATCATCCCTGAAAAGGAGCGCTGTATGGCCACAGAAGGGCAGCAGCTACGTCAGCCTAAGACAGAGACATTTGAGCAGGGCCTTGAAGCATGTGTAGGAGCTCGCCAGCAAAGCCAGGCAGGCCAAGACCTGAGTTGGCAACTCAGCTGCTGCTGCTTCCATGTGTTCTGGCTTCAGAGGTCATGGCTGCACCGGTCAGAGCCCTGAGTGCCTCAGGGTTTGGTGATGGCATTTTTAATGTAATAAATCTTTACTGAGTACTGCTGGTGGGCCAGAGTGTGATCTACTTGGGGAGTTGGAATGGAGAGACCTGGGTACTAAAATCCCAACTAATGTGGCAGAGGAGGAATTGAGAGCATATCCAGGGCCTCCCAAGGTGGGGTTCTGCGGCTGTGTCCATTTGGCAATGAGGAAAGTGAGGCTCAGAGCACAAGCCAGGTGCCAGAGGTGGGAGTTTGTCCCCCTTCCTCCCACCTGCTTCCTTGCAGCTGGAATGGGCTGAGGGAGGGGAACAGGATGCACAGCCTGGAGGCAAGGGCATGCTGCTCCCCTCTGGCTATGAAGAGGTTAACTCAGGCCCTCCACACCTGGAGGTCAGAACCTGGCCTGCCCTCTCACCTCCCACCCCATTCAAGGTTCTGAGAAGGTCAAGGGCGGCCCCAGGTGCTGGATTCTCAGGCTGGGCCTCTCAGCTGGCAGAGTCCACAGTGGAGAGATCTTCGTGAGCTCTTATCTAGCATGGACCCTGTTCTGAGACCTGACAAAGAGCCTTTTTCATGCCCCCGCCACCTTGGGAGGGAGGGCCTGGTCTGGTCTCATTTTAGAGACAATTGCCCCACACATAGCCCATTGACCCCCCCATCACCTCCTCATCAGGGCCTGAATTTATTGAGTGCTTGCTGTGTAGACCTGCATTTATTGAATACTTGTTATGTGCCTCTCATGGCAGGCCCACAGCACTCTGAACAGGCACAGCCCTCCCATCTTCCCAATGAGGAAACGGATTCAGGAAGAGCCACCCTGTCCCACCCCATCGGAAATGCGGGGCCCTCCTATCCTGGGGTCTCTCGGGGGTCCCCTCTCCCGCTGCTCACCTGGGTCCGAGCTAGGAGGCAGGGGCTGCAGGCTCAGTCTGACCCAGGCCTGCCAGCATGGCGGAGAGGTCTTGCATGAACAGCTTCACCTGGGGGACCCCAACACAAAGTCACACTTCAGCCCAAGAGCCACTGTCCAGCCCCTACCCCTCAACATGTGGGGAGGCCGAAAGGCAGGGCGGGGACTGGAGACCCCCTCCCTGAAAGAACAGCAATGATGGTGGTTCCCAGAGGCAGTGACAGATCCTAAACTTCTGGGTTTTAAAAGCCTCAGGCCAACCTTCCCAATTGCCACATGAGCAGACACCTCAGCTTCCTAGCTGCTGTCACCTGCACCATCCAATTAGTATTTTCATTTACATCAGTCAGCTTTATTTTCTTTTAATTGGATCAGTCGTATTCATTGGTTTGTGACTTACTCTCATCTTCTCCATGGGTGGCCCTCCTTTATTTTGTTTAATTCTTTATGGATATCAACTTAATAAACGCCTCGGATCCATTGTGAAAACTAGAACTTGAGGGTGAACATACAGCTATCCGTGGGCTGCCCTCATATTTATCACCCTATCAACAGAAGGAAATTGTTTCTCCACCAAAAATGGAAAGAAGTAGTTACCCCTTGTCATAACTAGGGGGTACTTGAAAATAATGAAAATGCAGTGGACAAATGAAGCTGTTACTGAATTCCAGCAGCCGCAGAGCAGTGTGAGTCCCGGCCGAGGCCGGGGAGTGTTAGGGGAGGTGGGAAAAAGCACAGCGTCCCTCCAGGGAGCCTTTCTCCTTGACAGGGGCAGAGTTGATTTTGAAAAGAGACGGTCTGGTCCTAGTGCAGTGGTGTTTACAACTAATTAATTACAACCAGTTACTGATTTTGTTCCTTGTTAATGTCCAGCTACTTCAGTTGGACTGAAAGAAAAGGGACTGGCCAGGCGCAGTGGCTCACGCCTGTAATCCCAGCAGTTTGGGAGGCCGAAGCGAGTGGATCACGAGGTCAGGAGATAGCGTGCATCCTGGCTAACACAGTGAAACCCTGTCTCTACTAAAAACACAAAAAATTAGGTGGGCGTGGAGGCGTGTGCCTGTAAAATCCCGGCTACTCAGGAGGCTGAGGCAGGAGAACACTTGAACCTGGGAGGCAGAGGTTGCAGTGAGCCTAGAATCCATCCTAGGCTGGGTGCCTGTGCAGTGATCCAGCCCACGGCCCTGGGGAAAGGACTCTGACCTCTTAAGAGGGCCATGCTTAACCCAGAAAAGGTGTCACTAACTGTGGAGTTTTAGGTACCTGATTTTTCCAAAGAGGGATAGCTTGGGGGCTGGAGGTGCCATACAGAGGGGGCCTTACCTGCTCTAGCTGCCCCTCTGTGTCCTCAATGTCCAGTGCAGGCGGCTGCCCCTGATGCTGGCACACTAGTTGGAACAGGTTGAGCACGGCCATCCTGCTGCGCCCCAGGAGCAGAGTCTTCTCCGCTGCTGTGTTCTGAATCTGAATCCACTTGGATTCCTGGAGAACACCCACCCGGCTCCCAATTAAGGCAACTGGCCTGCCCCCTGTCCCATCCATTTTTTTTTTTTTTTTTTTTTTTTTGAGACAGAGTCTCACTCTGTTGCCCAGACTGGAGTCCAGTGGTGTGATGTCAGTTCACTGCAACATCCGCCTCCCGGGGCCTAGCGATTCTCCTGCCTGTCTCCTGAGTAGATGGGACTACAGGTGCACGCCACCACGCCTGGCTAATTTTTAGTAGAGAGGTTTCACCATGTTGGCCAGGCTGGTCTCAAACTCCTGAACTGAGGTGATCTGCCCACCTCTGCCTCCCAAAGTGCTGAGATGACAGGCGTGAGCCACCACGCCCAGCATTCTTCCCATCCACTTTAGCCAGTCAGGCACGGTCAGATGCTCTCGGGAGAGGGTTTCGGGAGCCTGGTACCGGCGGATGGAGCGGGGCTTCATGCCCAAAAGATGATGCCTGAGATCCCCTCCTTAGCGCAGCGGAGCCTCTGGGTAAGTATTGCCCCATCGGTCCTCATCAGCCATGGCGCTCCTCCCCGCCCGGCGGTGGAAGCCTGGGATCCCGAGCGCCCCCCACCTGGGGCGGGCCATACCCACTGCAGCTTGCGCTCCCGGGCAGCCTCCAGACGCTCCTGCAGCTGCGCCCGACGCTGGCCGTGTGCGAGCAGCTCGTCCGGCCAGGCGTCCCGCAGCCGCTGCAGCCGCGCCCGCACGGCCTCCTGCTCGGCGAGCCGCTCGCGCTCCCTGAGCCTCAGTGCTGCCTGTGTCTCGGCCAGGCCGTCGAAGCGCGCCACCAGCTCCGGGACATCTTGGAACTACAGTAGGGGCGGGGAAGAGACTCACATGGGCCTGCGGTCCCCTACCCTCTCCATCCCACCTGGCCGCTGGCGCTTTTATTATTGGAATAATCTTTCTGGAAAGTGACTTAGCAGTTGGTAAATGTCAAACTCCATTTGTTAGAGACAAGGTCTCGCTCTGTCACCTGGGCTGGAGTGCGGTGGCGCGATCATAGCTCGCTGCCATCTCCAACTCCTGGACTCAAGCGATCTTCCCATTTCCGATCCAGAGTAGCTGGGATTATAGCCGCAGGCCACCAAACCGGGTTAATTTTTTGTATACATCGGGGAGGGGGGGGGTGTCTCTCTACGTTTTTTCAGGCTGGTCTCGAACTCCTGGCCTCAAGCAATCCTCCCGCCTTGGCCTCCCAAAGTGTTGGGATTACAGGCGTGAGCCACTGCGCCCGGTCAGAGTTAGCTTTCTGAATCTTCAGTTTTCCTATCTGTAAAATGGGATTGACAGTTGACAATAACAGGACTCCCTTCACTGGACTTTGGGGAGGATTCAAGAACAAAACATGGGCGGTGACTCACGCACGTAATCCCAGCACCTTGGGAGTCCGGGCGGGAGGATTGCTTGAGCCGAAGAGTTCGAAACCAGCCTGGGCAACATAGTGAGACCCCCCCCTCTATTAAAAACAATAATTAAAAAAATAGCCAGGCGTGGTGGCATGCGCCTGCGGTCCCATTTACTTGGGAGGCAGAGGCAGGAGGATCCCTTGAGCCCAGGAAGTCAAGGCTGCAGTGAGCCGCGATCGCGCCAATAACACAGCGAGTCACAGTCACAACCCGCCCCTCCCCCCCAAAATCTAACAACAACAAAAACCAAAGAGTATCTCTGACACACAGTGAACGCTCCATAAGTGATAGTCCCTTGAATGCAGTTAGCGCTCCAGTAGTTCGCCGGTCCGAAGCCGTCCCAGAGCCACGCAGCGCTGCGCGGTGGCCCTGAGCTCCCAGCCTCCTGCGCCGCTCTCACCCCTGGCAGCAGCTCCAGCGCTTGCTCCAGCAGGCGCGCGCAGGGCTCCAGGCGCTGCAGTCTGCGCTGCAGCCGCGCGTGCTCCTGCCTTAGCTCCTCGAGCTGGGCCCGCAGCCGCAGCGCCTCCGCCTCCCGGCGGCCCGCCTGGTTCCGCTCCTCCGCCGCTCTCCGCAGCGCGCGATTGCGCCTGGCCTCGGAGTCCTGGGGAGTAAGGTGGGGAGCAGGCGACCTCCAGGACTCGGGAGCTGGCCGGGAGTTCGCCACCTCCGCCCTGCCCTGACCTTCGCACTCAAAACCTGGGCGGCCAGCAGGCGCGTCAAAGAAGTTGGCTCTTCACCGCACGCCCCTGCATTTTTTTTTTTTTTTTTTTTAACTCGGCGGCTTCAGGCAGTGCGTGTGTGTTTCCCGCCGTTCCCTTTTGCATGACTAAACCCACTTCTTTTCTTTTGTTACTGCCGGGCCCCTTTGTGGGTGTGAGCTGCGACCCATAGGCCCCGCCTCCCCGCCCCCAGCAGTCTCCACACACCTGGAAAAACTTGTCAAAGCTGATGAACGACCCCTTTAGCTCCCGCTCCTTCTGTTCCAGCTGTTCCCAGCGCTGTTTCAGGGCTGCCATCTTGGTGTGGAACACCTGGGGATGAGGAGTGGGGTGTCTGTGTGGCTTTGGGGGTCCGGGTCCTCCCATGCTCTCGGGTTCGCACCTCACCCCTTCCACCTGTTGTCCCTGATCTGTGGCTGCTCCCTGTTCAGTCCATCCGCAGCTCCCATCACTCAGAGATGAAGCCCAAACACCCTCCTCCAGCCCCCGAATGTCAGTGTCCCTGCCCTTCCCTCAGGCCTCATTGTACTCTCTCTCCTCCCATACTCTGTCTTCCAGCCACTCAACTACCTGTGTTTTGTTCTTGCCTTCCAGCCTTTGTGTATGCTTTTCCTCTGGCTGTTTTTCCTTCCTCATCCCATTCGCCTTTGCTGGATAAGCTGACTTGCCCTTCAGCAATCCCCAAGACATCACTTCCTCCAGGAAGCCCTCCATGACCACCCCCATGGAGAGGCAGGGACTTCTTCTGGGCTCCCACAGCTCCTGCCCAGTGCTTCTCCCCTGTAGCAGTCACCACCCAAACACTCATCTGCTTTCCTCTCTAGACTGTGAGCCCTACAAGGGAAGGAACCATGGTGAGACCTGCAGGTTGGTGCTCAATGCACACAAATTTATCTGCACCAACAACTGGTCTCATTTGGTCCCCATTTGACTGATGAGGAAACCAAGGCTTGCAGTGGTGAAACGACTTGTCTCAGACTTTATAACTAACAACTTGGCTCCATCACTTCCCATCTGCTGGCTCACCCCCTGGTTACAGTAGTGGGGCTCACCTGCTTCTGGGTCTGCAGGGCCTGGTCTGCATCCACCAGCTCTTGCCTCTTCTCCAGGAGACGTAGCACTGGCGGGAAGTAATGCTCAGCCTGCTCTGGCAGCTTTCTGGAGAGTCAAGGAGGAGGTGGGGGTGAAGGAAGCACGTGTCGGGGCCCCACATCTCACCACTGTGTCTGGAGTGTCCCATTAGCCACCCACTGGCTGGTTAATTTTGTTGTTGTTGTTGTTTAGATTTGTTTTTCGGGTCTTGCTTTGTCACCCAGGCTGGAGTGCGGTGGTGTGATAGCTCACTCCTGGGCTCAAGCAATTCTCCCGTCTTGTCTCCTGAGTAGCTAGGACTGCAGGTGTGTGCCATCACACCCAGCTAACTTTTATTTTGTAAAGATAAGGTCTTGATTTATTGCCCAGGCTGGTCTTGAACTTGTGGACTCAAGCAATCCTCCTGCCTCAGCCTCCCAGTATTGGGATTACAGGTGTGAGCCACCACAACTGGTTAAATTATTATTTATTATTATTATTTTTTGAGATGGAGTCTCACCCTGTCATCCAGGCTGGAGTGCAATGGCGCAATTTTGGCTCACTGCAACCTCTGCCTTCCAGGTTCAAGCAATTCTCCTGCCTCAGACTTCCAAGTAGCTAGGATTACAGGTATGGGCCACCATGCCTGGCTAATTTTTGTATTTTTAGTAGAGACAGGTTTTCACCATGTTGTCCAGGCTGGTCTCGAACTCCTGACCTCAAGTGATCTGCCCACCTTGGCCTCCCAAAGTGCTGGGAGTACAGGTGTGAGCCACCGCACCGGGTGAATTCTTTATTCATTCAGCAAATTGTCCTGAGCACCTACTCTGGGCCAGGCACCCTTCTAGGCACTAGGGGTACAGCTGGGAACAGGACAGGTAAAAATCCCTGTTCCCTCATAAGCTGGCATTTTGCTGGCAGCCACAGAAAATCAACCTAATAAATAATAATAATAATAATAAAGAATGGCAGAACATGGTAGCCACTGAGACGAAAAATTAAGCAGACTAACGGGATCTTTCAACAGGAAGGAGGTGGCACCTGAGCAGGACCTGGAGGAGAAGAGGGATCAAGCCACGTGGACATCTCCAGAAAACAGATTCTAGGATCCTGGTGTGGCCAGGGTGGCTGGAGAGGAGGGAGGGAGGAGAAAAGAGATGGGAATGGGGAGCAGGGAGGTGCTGAGAATCCAACTGAGGTGGGCCATGGTGAGGAGGGACTTTGGCCTTGACTCTGAGTGAAGTGGGAGTGGGGGAGGGTTTTTGGCAGAGGAGAGGTCCTTCTGGCTGCAGGAGACCAGTGGTGGGGCCAGGGGCTATTCCGGAGGTAGTGCGGTTCTGAGCAAGACAGTAGCGGAGGGAGGTGAGAACAGAGCTGATGGAGTGCGGATGGGGGTGAGAAAGGGGTCAGAGGTGATCCCAGCAGCCGGAAGGATGTTACTGGGAGGGCAGGCTCAGGAGAGCAGGTCAGGTCCGGGAGGCCAGCTCCCTGCTATGGCCAAGCCCGAGATGCCCGAGGTCTCCGCAGGGAGAGGCCCAGGAGGTGGTGGGGTTCTGGAGTCCAGCTCCACAGGGAGAAACGGAGAGCAGAAGGGATGACTAATGTGCAATTTGCAAGGCTTTCCTGGCCGTAGCCCAGGAGAAACTCCCCTCCCCATTTTATAGATGCTGAGACGGGGTTGGGACTTGAGGCCACGCTGCTGAAAGCAAAGGAGACACAGAACAAGCTTCCTCTGTTCCTCCTTAAAATGCAGTTTCGGGGGTGGATTGGGGAGCAGGATTTCATAGAATAATTCCTTCCCACCTCGGTTTGAATGATTTAATCTCAGCCGGATGTCAGCTAGGCGTGGGGGATCAGGAACAAATCCTGAGACCATGGTGATGTCTCAGTTTCTCCCTGAGCCTCAGTTTCCTCTTCTGTGAAGTGGGGACAATAACCTCCAGTATGATCTGCCCAAGGAAGGCAGACCCCGGAGGTGAGGAAGAAGAGGTGGGCCAGCCCACCCGTTCCTGCCCTCCTCCTAGCCCTCCCTGCCTCTACATCCCACTCACGTAGACTGTTTCTCCTGCAAGGCCAGTCGGAAATACTCCTCCCAGGGCACCGCCATCCTCCTGGCAGTTGCCCCAGCTTTCTTTCCACCAGCTGGAGTTTTGCACAAGTCTAGGAGAGCCTGGGGGTTCTGTGGAGCGTGGTGTGGAAGCCCGCTCAGCTCTCCCAGAGCCGCCCAGCAGGCTCTGGTTGCCCGGCAACCAACGACACAACATTCCACTGCGTGGCTTCGGCTAGGCCTCGGAATCCACCGGGGAAGGGAGAGGGAAGGGGCTGCAAGGAGAGGAGCAGCCTCTGCCGCTCCTGGAGAGGCCTGTAACACCCCATCAAATGAGGGTGCAGTGGAGAGAATGGGGGTCCCTTGGCCAAGAAATTGCCTTTCTTAGTGCCCCACGTTTGGCCAAGCCTCTTCCTAGTTGGCTGGGATAGGGCCTCACTAACCGGGCCACAGTTGTGTGTACTCAGGCTGTGGCTCAAAAGAATAATTACTGGGCACGCACTGCTAGCCAGACCCTAGGTGGAGTCATTCACCGCAGCCCTTTGAATTGCCACTCCCTGTCCTAGTGATGGGGCTCCTCTGGGTATTTCTCAGGGAGCCCCCAGCCTGGTTAGGGAGACAAAGGGAGACCATCAGGACCTCCCAGTGGAAACCAGCTTGGAAGGGATGGTCTAGACTTGGGGAATGGGGGCATAGAGTAGGGGAGAAGCTGAGATAGTTTGGGCATTTATTTATTTATTTCACGTGGAGTCTTGCTCTGCCACCCAGGCTGGAGTGCAGTGGCTCAATCTCGGCTCACTGCAACCTCTGCCTCCCAGGTTCAAGCAATTCTCATGCCTCAGCCTCCTGAGTAGCTGGGATTACAGGTGCATGCCACTAATTTTTGTATTTTTAGTAGAGACAGGGTTTCGCCGTGTTGGCCACGCTGGTCTCAAACTCCTGACTTCAAGTGATCTACCTGCCTTGGTCTCCCAAAGTGCTGGGATTACAGGCGTGAGCCTCTGCGTCCGGCCGGTAGTTTGGGCTTTCCTGTGAGTTGGATGCTATGTGTAGCACTCTATAGTATCTAAATTAATCCCTAAGACAGCCCTGTGGGGGGAGGGTGGTACCAGGGAAAAGTACTCAGTGTAGTATAAAAAGTACCCTTGGGTTCTTCAACTGGAAGCAGCAAACACCGGCGTCTTGTCCTCCCTGGTTCTGGTCATTTTATTTTCCATTTTATATAATTTATTTTCCATTCAAAGAAATGTGTTTTCTTTTCTTTTTTTTTTTTTTTTTGAGACGGAGTTTCGCTCTTGTTACCCAGGCTGGAGTGCAATGGCGCGATCTCGGCTCACCGCAACCTCCGCCTCCTGGGTTCAGGCAATTCTCCTGCCTCAGCCTCCTGAGTAGCTGGGATTACAGGCACGCACCACCATGCCCAGCTAATTTTTTGTATTTTTAGTAGAGACGGGGTTTCACCATGTTGACCAGGATGGTCTCGATCTCTTGACCTCGTGATCCACCCGCCTCGGCCTCCCAAAGTGCTGGGATTACAGGCTTGAGCCACCGCGCCCGGCCGAAATGTATTTTCTTAATGCAGAGCAATGCTGTTTCAAAACCTGTAGTCCCTTGTAATGCCCATTGCTTAAAATGCTCCTGAGGATTTTGTCAGAGCATGTTTTAAAAGCAATGAGGGCGGAGTGTGGTGGCCGATGCCTGTCATCTCAGCACTCCGGGAGGATTGGAAATGGCCATTGGCCATTGGTAGGAGGACTGCTTGTGCCCAGGAGTTCCAGCCCAGCCTGGGTGACATAGAGAAACCCCAGCTCTACAAAAAATAATAAGATTAGCTGGGGGTAGTGGCATGTGTCTGTAGTTCCAGCTACTCGGGAAGCTGAGGCAGGAGGATTGCTAGAGCCCAGGAGGTTGAGGTTGCAGTGAGCTATGATCACTCCACTGCACTCCAGACTGGGCAACAGCATAAGAGTCTGTCTCAATAAATAAATACTTAAGAAATTTAAAAGAATGAAAATAATGTACATTTTATCTTTGAGCATTTTTAAAATTAAATTGCACATGCTATCTTTCTGCACAAATTGATGTGAAGTTACGATAAGTTATACGATCTCTTTTTTTCTTTCCCTCTTTCTTTCTTTTCTTTCTTTCTTTCTTTCTCTCTCTCTCTCTCTCTCTTTCTCTCTTTCTCTCTTTCTCTCTTTCTCTTTCTCTCTTTCTCTCTTTCTCTCTCTTTCTCTCTTTCTCTCTTTCTCTCTCTTTCTCTCTTTCTCTCTTTCTCTCTTTCTCTCTTTCTCTCTTTCTCTCTTTCTTTCTTTCTTTCTTTTTCTTTCTTGAGACAGAGTCTCGCTCTGTCACCCAGGCTGGAGTGCAGTGGCTCAATCTCAGGTCACTATAACCTCCGTCTCCTAGGTTCAAGAGAGTCTCCTGCCTCAGCCTCCAGAGTAGCTGGGATCACAGGCATTTGCCACCACACCTGGCTAGATTTTTGTATTTTTAGTAGAGACAGGGTTTCGCCATCTTGGCCAGGCTGTTCTCGAACTCCTGGCTTCAGGAGATCTGCCCTCCTCAGCCTCCCAAAGTGCAGGGATTACAGGTATGAGCCACCTCTCCTGGCCTCGTTTTATAAAAAAAAAATTAAAAAGATAAAGGTATCTTTTACAAAAAGTAAAGTCACTTTTTCCTTATACAGTTCTATGGGTTTTGGCAAATGCATACAGTCACGTAATCACCACCACAATCAATATACAGAACATTTCCATCACCCTAAAAACCCCTTGTGCTCCTTTATAATCAACCCTTACCACCACCCCAGCCTCTGGCAACTTCTACATGGTCTCCTTTTGCAGGATATCATACATGTAATTATGGCATATACTTTGTAGCCCTTTGAGTCTACCTTCTTTCACTTAGTAAGAGCCATTTGACGTTTATTCATATTAATATGTGTATCAGTAGCTCATTCTTTTTTTTTTTTTTTTTTTTGAGACGGGGTTTTGCTCTTGTTACCCAGGCTGGAGTGCAATGGCGCGATCTCGGCTCATCGCAACCTCCGTCTCCTGGGTTCAGGCAGTTCTCCTGCCTCAGCCTCCTGAGTAGCTGGGATTACAGGCATGCGCCACCATGCCCAGCTGATTTTTTGTATTTTTAGTAGAGACGGGGTTTCACCATGTTGACCAGGATGGTCTTGATCTCTTGACCTCGTGATCCACCCGCCTCGGCCTCCCAAAGTGCTGGGATTACAGGCGTGAGCCACCGCGCCCGGCCCAGTAGCTCATTCTTTTTCATTTGTGGGGACGTTATATTATGAATATTATAGTTTGCTGATTCACTCCCCAGGTGAAGGGCAGGTGGGTTCCTTCCAGTTTTGGGCACTTGCAAATACAGGCTGTGTTCATGTACAGGTTTTTATGCCAACGTAAGTTTTCATTTTACTTGTGTTAGTATGTGTGAGTGGTATTGCTGTGTCATATGGTAAGTGTGTGTTGAACTGTATGAAAATTGCAGACTGTTTTTCAAGGTGGCCGTGCTATTTTTATATTCACACTAGCACTGTAAAAGAGTTCTAGTTGCTCCATATCCTCACCAGCAGTTGGTATTGTCGGTTTTTTAAAAAGTCATTTTATGGCTGGGTGTGGTGGCTCATGCCTAGAATCCCAGCACTTTGAGAGGCCGAGGCAGGTGGATCACCTGAGGTCAGGAGTTCAAGACCAGCCTGGCCAGCATGGTAAAACCCCATCTCTACTAAAAATACAAAAATTAGCTTTGCGTAGGGGCATGCACCTATGATCCCAGCTACTCAGAAGGCTGAGGCAGGAGAATCACTTGAATCTGGAAGGCAGATGTTGCAGTGAGCCAAGATCAAGCCACTGCACTCCAGCCTGCCTGATGAGTGAGACTTTGTCTCAAAAAAACAAAAAAAGTCATTTTAATAGTTGCATTATAGTATAGGTTACAGTTAAATTTTTTTTAGGCAAGATCTGGCTCTACCACAAGGCTGGAGTGCAGTGGCACGATCTTGGCTCACTGCAACCTCTACCTCCCAGACTCAAGCCATCCTCCCACCTCAGCCTCCCAAGAAGCTGGGACCTCAGGCACGTGCCACCGTGCCCGGCTAATTTTTGTATATTTTGTAGGTGGGGTTCCACCATGTTGCCCAGGCTGGTCTTGAACTTGTGTGCTCAAGCGATCTGCCTGCTTCTGCCTCCCAACGTGCTGAGATTACAGGCATTAGCCACCACACCTGGCCTAGGTTACTTTTTAATTTTTGAGATAACTGTAGATTTACGTGCAGTTTAAGGACCAGTACAGAGAGATCCCGTATCCCTTCCACCCAGTTTCCCCCAGTGGTAACATCTTGCGTAACTACAGTACAATATCACAATCAGAAAGTTGGCATTGATACAACCCACTGACCTCATTCAGATTTCACCATTCTAACATGCACTCATGGGCATGTGTGTGTATATTTAGTTCTATGCAACCTTGCCACAGGCATATTATGTGACCACCACTATAGTCAAAATACAGAACAGTTCATCACAAAGATCACTAGAGGCGTCCCTGTCTCGCGCCTTCTCCCCTCCCTAAGCCCTGGCAACCATTCCTCTGTTCTCCATCTGTATAATCTTGGCATGTCAAGGATGTTTGAGAAATGGAATTGGCCAGCCACTGTGGCCATGCCTGTAATTCCAACACTTTGAGGGGCCGAGGCGGGAGGATCGCTTGAGCCCAGGAGTTTCACCAGCCTGGGCAACATGATGAAACCCTGTGTCTACAAAAAATACAAAAATTATCCAGGCGTGCCATGTGCCTGTAGTCTCAGCTACTTGGGAGGCTGAAGTGGGAGGATCACTTGATCCTAGGAGGCAGAGGCTGCAGTGAGCCATGATAGCGTCACTGCACTCCAGCCTCAGTGACAGAGCAAGACCCTGCCTCAAAAGCAAGGAAGTGGAGGGGAGGGGAGGGAAGGCAAGGGAAGGGCAGGAAAGGAAGAAAAGGAGAGAGAAGCCGGGCGCGGTGGCTCAAGCCTGTAATCCCAGCACTTTGGGAGGCCGAGGCGGGTGGATCACGAGGTCAAGAGATCGAGACCATCCTGGTCAACACGGTGAAACCCCGTCTCTACTAAAACTACAAAAAATTAGCTGGGCATGGTGGTGCGTGCCTGTAATCCCCGCTACTCAGGAAGCTGAGGC